TATATATATATATATATAAATTAAACGTCCTTCCGAAGCGGGAGACAAGATTTCGATTTCGGCGACCGACAGTTTTTTACGGGCAACTTTTGAACAAAACAAACTTCCCTCTTTTCGCGCCGACACTCACACGAATACCTAAAAGATAAGCACCTACAATTTTAGAAGTAGGCAATCTCTCCCAAATCCTACAATTTGAGGGGTAGGAAGTCTCTCCCTAAGCTTAACCCTAAGACTCATGACCACATTCTAATGTATAACTCTCATCCTAAGAATATTAGCGCTATTTATACTAAGAAATAATAAATAACAAAAGATTGAATTGTCCTTGGGCACATAAAAGATTAAATCACCCTTAGGCGCCGTCATAACTCATAACACAACTTCCTTTGAATGCTGAAAATTTCTGATTATCACCAAAGTTATAGAAAATTAGGAAATTTTAAAACACAAATGCGAAACCATGTGCCTGAACTCCTTTGTAGAGAGAAGCGTTAGATTCATACTTTGGCAGTGCAAACATCGTGAACATTTAAATGTCTTTGAGTCTCAGTGCATTATATAATATAATGCCACATAAGATACATATATAGGTACTTTTTTATTTTGTCCAATTAAATGATTAAGATATGAAAGGCATAACTAGTTGAATTCTATGCCTTCAAAGAAAAAGTATTTATGGAAATGCGTTGAAAAGAAGATAACAATAAAGAACACTAGATTTTTTTTATCGATATTAAGAATGTGAAATGAAGCTTAAAACAATGTTCCTTTGAAATACGTGTGGCCATGTGACTTTATGTACAAATAAAATGGGACACTATTGTGACCAATTTTATACCATTTAATTGGATTTGGTCTGTGATTTTTAAAAGCCTATTGCTCTTTTGTTGCGCGGATCATATTATGGCATTCCAAAAAGAGCTGCATGTTTCCTTAATGAGACTCTCATATCAATCTATAACTTTTAGGTGAATTGATTTATGGGCTATAGCACCAGATTTTTTGAGAAGAATAATTATGTGAATCCAAGTTTGTGTTTACTTAGTTGCAAAAAAATAGTACCATTTGATCTCAACTATTTGCCACGAATCCTCAAAATCTAATGATGTTTTGGCAAGTTGATGCGATGCATGTCCACACAATTCTTTTTTTCAAGTGTTTGTGTTTTTTATTATTAATATATGATGCACCATGGCGGACACACATCAAACATAGACATAGTTGGGACACAACTTGGTTATCTCTTGGATATGGACATGTGGAATGCATCTCCAAAATAAAAAAATTAAAATAATTTATCCTGATACATGCGTCAAACATGACGGAAAATTATTTTCATTTATTTTAGCATATTTAAAGTGGTTTTTATGGGGAATTTCAATCTCAGATTTTGTTTCAGGTTACCAAGGGCAATATCATCTATCCTATTAGTCGTTTGCTTATTTCTTTTCTTTTCTGTTTCATAAGGCTTTTATATTGAAATCTTTTTTAACGTGCATTAAAGATGACCCTTTTGTGTATGAGTTGTTATTAGCATTTGGAGAATATCAAATTCTAATTATAAGTCTATTATAATTTACCAGAAATTAAATATATGTGTGGCACACATATTATTGTGGCCAATGAATGCCGATATCTTATATTTTTGTAGATTGGGCATGCCCCATGCTCATGTTGTGTTGTGTTCTTTTTTTGTATCATATCCATCAGTTGTTGAGTATAAGTTTAATTATTTATCATATAATGTAGGACTTTTTAGTTTCCAAGACCCGCTATTAAGAAAAAAAATTGATGTTGAATGAAATGACATTTTTTCTTCCACGTTTACCTCTCTCTCTCTCTCTCTTTTCGTTCATTTTCTCTAGGCTTCCTTAATTCTTCCATCTGGTTGGTTTGCATCAGTTGGTATTATCGTTTTTATTATTATTATTTGTTGTTACTAATTATTTCCCTATTCCTTCTCTTCTTTAACAGTAGTGAAGAACTTATTGTTTCATGAACAACTATATGTTGGGATGATATCAAGTTAAGTTTTAGCTCAAATTTGTTCATAATGATATGAATCGACTTAAAATTTGTTTTTATTACTATATTATCTATTATGTTTATATTATGTTATATACTTTATATTTTTATGGAAACATTTATTTCAATTCTAATTTCTGGCTAGTTTAAACTATACTTGTGTGAGGCAAAAGAAATTTGAACTCAATTTCGAGTTTTGATTTGAGCTCAAAGACGCATAGTTTAAAATTTGAGCACTTTTCAAATAAGTTTTGAGCTTTTTTTATTATCCTTAATAACGAGAACTTATTTTTTCATGAATAATGACAATGATTTACTATTCCATAAATAATAATGGTGTTTGCACCCTCTCATTATAGAGGTGTTTTTGATGATGGATCATCATTATTTTTCCCTTCAATTTCATCACCATTTTATTAACTCTTCACGAATGCCCATAAGCCATCATCTTCAAAATCAAATTCCTTTTCAAAAATATCTCCGCATGTATTTGAACTTATGATCATTTGTTTTAGATTATTACTTGTCTTTATGCCTAAAGTCTTTTTTATGATAAAAAAGTAGGTTTCTGAGGTTAAGATGGAATTGAAAAATTATTATTTTGAAATTACTTTATAATAACTTATTTGTTGTTTCATTTCTTCTCATCATCTTCTTATCTTCCATAATCCTTCTCTCTCTCAGTCACCTGCAGTTTACTATCTCTTTCATTCTTCTCCTCCCTCTCTGTCTCTTTTCTGTCTCATCTCTACTCCTCTCATATTCTTTGCTTCTTCATTACTCCTTCCCTATGGCATTCTTCTACCGCTGAACCCCCTCACCTGCTATCAACATCTTCGGTTCATCTTCATCTCTTCTTTTCCCATTTCTTTCCATGCTGCTTCACTCACCCTTAATTCTTGCCACCTTTCCCTTTTTCCTTTCACAACCATTGCAAAGGAATCAAAATCTTTTGATTTGCAAGGTTCTATATTTCATTGAATTGCTATTATTAGTGATTGAAGCATAATTGCACTATATCAATACTCCGAGGTTGCAAATACCCCTACTTTAGAGGGTTGATTTGACAGAAAGAATAACCAGAGGTTCTTGACTATATTGTAGAGCTGATGATATCCATACCTACTAAGAGAGTGAATTAGACAACTTAAGAGGGAGGAAAAGCATGCCTAGCGTTATTTCATTCAATATTAATGTTTGTCTTTGTGGGATCCTTTGGAATTCTATTTATGATGGAGAATTTTATGAGATGAGCCTCATTAAACTTATCACACACTAAAAATGACCTTACTGCCCCTTAAATTTATAGACTATAACTAACCTAAAATATACAAATGCGCTTATAATTCAACTAAACTACCGAACTCAATCAGACGAAATGAGAAATGGCTTTATTTTTTCATTAGTTCTCCTGATAGATTCTTCTCCCTTCTCTTAAACGTGGGAGTAGTTTTTCTGCTCTACCTCTTTCTCTTTTGCAGCATCGACTCTAATCCATTTTCATTTTATCTCTGCAGTTCTCCTTACACTGAATTTTTCACCTTTCACAAAATATGTATATAACTAAAAATGGTCCACAATGTTGAGCTAAGTTCTTGAATTTAAAGAGTTCTCTATGTAGAGATTTTTTTGTCGTCCACTGTCTTGAATGTCTTCCCCATGTCTCTGCTTCCGCTGTCCTTCTCATTGGCACGAGATAATGGGCTTTTTTCGCTGATAAGTGTTATCAATCCGCACTGTGGTATGATTTTTCCACTAATCCATGTCGAGAAAAAAAAAAAACACGTGTTTATCTTATGTGAACCACATGATCTACTTTTGGAGAGTTTAGAGCTTTCAATTTTTGATTTACTTGTTTAGCTCACTGCCGGATCTTTTTGCCTAATTTAAAAAATTCTATGCCTATTTAATGGTTTTTGTTTTTGCAGCTTCATTCATCGGGTGTTTTGGCCATAGGGAGCAGTAAGAAAGGAGAAAACTCTTATTCCCATCATCTTGATTCTGATGTAAGGGCGTCATAATTGTTTATATTCCTCCTTTGCTAAACTTCCTCAATATTGTTTTATTTCAGACCAGAAAAAAATAAATATTGACAAAATTTTATGGCTTTATTAGATTGGTGTCTCCGTGGTGGATAGATTTACTTTCTACACCCTTGCTTTCTTTGAGAAACTCAACATGTATAGCAACGCCTCGTTGGGCAGGTAAAATGGTATCTGAATCCTTAGTAATGAAGAGAACATTTTTTATTTTACCAGCCCCCTTGTTGTTGAATTCAGAGCTGCCGGTAATTTTAAATTTATTATGATTTTTTATTAGAAAACTATCATCGGATGTAAATATTATGAAGCTAATCATATGACGCTTAAAATAAACTATCTTACAATTTTGAGAGTTAAGGCAGGCATCAAAATTTTACTCGACTAGCATGAAAACAATTACCTAGGAAAAGGTCTTGTTGAAGTCATGGAGGACGTTTATTCAAGTATTTCATGTAAAGATTTGTTAGATTTCTAATTTTCTGTGTCCTTTTGTTAGCAACGGTGGCATTATAAGGCTCTAATGGCATCTTCGATTCTATTTAACATTTCATGCTATTTACCATAGAAATTTGAGGGAAAGGAGAAGATTAATAAAGGAGGAAAATTCAGTTCATTGATATTTTGTCCCCATCCCCCGATACGGGGTATTACAAAGGTGGGGTCATGACATTACTCTCAATCAAACAACAACCATGCCCTCAAGTTCGAACTAGAAATCATACCAAAACAAATTCAACAGAGGCAACGATCATTCATTCACTCATAATCTCTTAAGCATGTTCTTTTTGTGTGCTAGACTAATTGTGAACATACAAAGGAAAATATTGACTGATTGGCCCTTAAGGAACTCAATTTGTGCTTTGAATTATAAAGAATATGGGCTTGCATGTGTCATGATTCGACTTGGAGCCTTGGAATTACCGAGGTGGGAAAAAATAGCTGGGCGGTAAAATGCAAATTTTAATTATTATTGTTAATTAAGAATGGTTTAATAAATCAAAAAAGTCTGCTGTAATGAAAAAAAATTAGATTCAACTTAAAAAAAAACAATCATAATCAAATTGCCTTTCTCTAGCTCGATTACATCTTTGAGAAATATTTTTTTTTTTCACTCATTTTCAAGATTCAGCCCGTAACCTAAAATATTAGTTTAATTCCTTGCGAGTTATTAACAAGTTAATGAATACTCATATTCCTATAATTACAATAACATAAAGGAAATAGAAATTAACATGTATGTTTGTTAGATAAAGTGAATTAATATAGAATCAATTGACAATTTTTTTTTGGGGGAACATTTAAGTTCATCTATTAAGGTATGCAATCAGGCAGTTGCTGTAGTATAGAATCAACTGATTTCCTGCAGCCCTTTGGACCGCATCCTTCCGGCGCCTCCCCTCCCCCTTGTCGCTGCCGTCCAAGCCACTTTGCTGCTGCTGCAGCAATCCCTCGTTCACCTGACAGGTGCTACTACAAACCCGCAAAACACACACCCCCCTCGCCCTTCCACCTTACCGCCGCCGCCGCCGTAAATCCCCTCTCACCTGTCGACCTGCTTGTTACCCCCACATCCAACCGGCTAACCTGCTTGCTGCTGTCCACCTTACTGTTCCTCCAGCCTCTTCCAAACGGCACAACCCCACCACAACACACAACCTCACTCCCCCCCTCCACCTTAATACTGCTGCCGCAAATCCTATCTCCCCAGACGATCCCAATCCCGTTCCACTTTGCAGCCAACCGCCAACCCCACAGCCAGCCAACCTGCTTGTTGCACACACATGCAACCCACTAACCTGCTTGCTGTCGTCCACCCTACCCTTACTCCATCCTCTTCCAGAAGGCAACCTATCATTCTTGTTCTCAACCTAGCGAGTTGCATGTGTTTGTGTCGTTTTGTTCCTGTTTTGAAGAGACTTTGTTGTAACCTTTTGAATTTTATCAATAAAAAATTCTTTCCATTACGGTTTGGATTAACTCTTTTATCAGTCTTATTCCTTTTAGTTTCAATTATGAATATAGCTTTGTTAGCTATGCATGCAGAATTTATGCCTAACTTGTTTCATCAGGAGAGCGAAGTGGCAAAGTCTATACAAGAGACGGTGGTAAAGAGTCATTTCATATGAAGTTATTTAGGAGGCATTTTTTGTGGCTGAATGTATTGGTTGAAGTCATTGCCCTCAAGTAAGATATATAAATAGTATAGGTGGAGGGTGATGTAGGATTATCAGGTTTAAATTTGTGAGGTTGCCATTTTCTATCATGATTTCGGGGAATTGCAACATATTAACCATTGTATAATTTTATTAGAAAAAATGGTTTTGATCATTTGTGGTCAAGTATTCTTGATTCTTATATAAAGGAATTGAAATGCAGGTATAAATGATAATTTAACTTCTATAGTTATGGTTTTGTTGGTTGAAATTGAAAAAAATTAAAATGTGTGATAAGTGGTTATAATAAAGATTATAAATTTAATAAAACTGCAATCGAGGTGATGTTGTTGTATAATTGTATGGATCTGAATGTTGGTTGTTAAAAAATCATTGATATCTAAATTGAGTGTGTCAGATATAAGAATTGTATGATAGAGGTGTGACAAAAAATGGGAAGGATAAGTTCATAAATGATTATCTCAATGGAGCTATTGGAGTGATATTTGTTGAAGAAAAGTATTTGAAAATAAATTTAGGTGGTTTGAACATGTATAATAAATAAGAGCAATGCGCTTATTAGACAAGTAGATACAATTTGCATTTGTGGACTAAAAGAGGTAGACCTCAAGTAATATTGATAGACAGTCAAACTCATATGTGAAGAATATGTTTCACTTCTTTGATAGCACTCGACAAGAATAAATAATAATATAGGCATTTACATACATAGCATACATATCTTATGTATTTGCCATCTCACGGCACTCAAATCTTTATTATCACATAAAAATAACATTATTATGACATTTTAAAATTTAAATGCACATTTTCATGCATGGATTTAACGCACAGAAGTGTTATGTAATACGGATGTTTAGTGTGAGATATGTACGTACATAAGAATTTTGCTACCAATGTAAATTTCCCATGAAAATATGATGATGATAATGATGGTGATAAATAATGGTGTTTCCATTTGCCGTGACTTGTGTGGGGAGGACTACTGCATGCCATGCATAGCTTCACCATTAGCTATACTTTTGTCACCTCTATGAACAAATTTTTATCTTTATATATTTTTTATATGCTTAATTCTCACGATTAACTTTTGAGTCTTTTCTATTACCTATTAATGTCTACTTTATTGATGGCGGTTAATTTTCTTAACATCTTCAGTCTTTTCGACTCATATAATCCAAACTTGTTGATGTCAACCGCATTTTATCGGATGGATCTCTATCAACGACCACTAAATGAGGTATATATGGCTGTGTTCAATTGCCTTCACCATTGGCGGATACTTAAAAATGTCTATTTTTATGTTCTTTAGATATATATATTATTTTTTACTGCAATTTGAACTATAAATAGCCAAAAAAACTCTATAATATCTTGTTAAGAAAGGGGATTAACGTTAGATAATTTCTCAATGATTTGTAAGTAAATGATATAGACCATCTTAGGAAGAAAAAATTGGAAACTTGTCTACACCAAAACAAGAAAATACTCTATGGCTGTGCAATCCATGATTAAAGATACCAAAAATAAATTTCATAACTGATGAGCTTAATAACTTTTCTAAGTGAGTAAATTCAATCTAATTTGCACCTTGATATTTCGATTATAATATTCGAGCACTCCGAAGGTATCCTGGTCTTTCGCTTGTAGCATCCATGAATTCCACTGTATCTATTCACCATCAAACCTCTAGAAAAATATGTTATCTATTGGTTATTTTGATTCAGGAAAATTTATCTGATATTTATTATGCTCAGGGCATTAGTGTTGTTAATTGACTATTTGTCGGGGTGAGTAGTAATAGATATTACATCATATAATTTTTTTAACTTTCATTCTCTTGCTTGGAACATTTTGGTTATTTTATATTTGACGAGCTTAAATGACACAACAAATGTGATAAATCTTTTATTGGCCTCATAAATTCAATGTATTAATATTATGTCACCCTTTGTCTGCGGTATATTGCTCTAATGAACACGTGTTATAAGAAGCTTTGAGCCCTAAGTTTCCATAAATTGTTAAAAATGTCTGCTTTTTATCTGCATCGTTCCAATGGAACAATTACGTATGATACCAGCAATTTTCTTTTTAACTTGCAAGTTTTTATTGCTGTAAAGCTTCTGCTTCCTGTCTCTTTCTGGTCGTTACTATCAGTATTCCTATATATTATTGCTATTGGCGTCATAATTTCTCCATGCAAAATTTTTTATAGACTAGTTTTCCTACCCAGGATAGGTTCATTTTCAGCTTGTTAAAAAATACCACTGCTCATGTTTGGCTCGTTTATATATCAAGCTCAAAAAATTTGTTTGTGTTTGATCCATTTGCTTAGCGAGCCAAAAACGAGTTGTTCAAGAACAACGAGCCGTTTTTGATAGCCTTAGTCACGCAAGCATAGAATGTTAAGGGTAGAGTCGGGATTTAAATCTTATTATTTATATTAAATTATTCATTTAAATAGAATTTAATATATATTTATTATATTTTTAATTAATAATTTTAATTGCCTTGTAGTCAATTAAATTCTTTAAAAATAATACTCATCAATTATATGTAG